CAGGGAGAGGCTTGACGCGCTTCTGCACGACGGTCTCCGTCTTGGCCTCATCGACGCCACAACAGGCGAATCGCTCCCCCTGGATGATCCTCAGTGGACTCCTGAGTACGACAACGCCTACGACCTCAACGGCAGGCTCTCCTGCATCAGGCAATCGCTGGACTCGGCTCTGGCCGCCTGCGCTGCATCCGCATTTTACAGCTGCAGTAGCCATGACGCATGAGCCGGCTCAACAGGCTCCAGCTCCTGTTCCGCCCGTTCCGCCTCCGGCTGATGCGGCACCTCCTAGTGGCCCGGCTAGCCCGGCAGTCGCGGCCCGGCTACCGGTGCTACTCCTCAGGCTTCACCTCCAGCTGGCCGCTCCCCCCGAGGCGGCCGCCCAGGCACCCGCTGACACCGGCCCTGCGCTGATGGAAGTTTCTGAAGCTGCACCCGACGCCCCATCCGCGGGGATGGCGTCAGCTGCTCTGACCGCCTCCGCTCCTGTGGACCTCTTCGCGAAGCCCGCTGTGAAGAAGGAGGAAGTCAAGGTGGAAATGAAGGAGGAGCCGAAGGAGGAACCGAAGGTTGACCCTGTCAACGTCAAGGTTCCGGAGTGCGAGAGCAGCCCAAGGCTCTTAAAACTGAGACCGGTAGGAAGCGTGTTCCTGATCTTCCTTGGCGCCAAATTGGCCAGGATGGTGATCGGCCACTTCTGGGGGGCTCACACGCGCCCAGCGTGTCCCACCTGTTTCCTGCCATGGACTTTGTCCTCTTTTTCCTCACCTCAGGGTTGAGTACATCGACCAGATGACTCCGCTGACGTGAAGGATCACGCAGATTGGCTACCTCGTCCGCTGAGTGATGAACACCATTGCCCAGCACCGCCGCTGTGTGGCGATCACCATTGCCCCGAACCGCTGCTGCGCTCATCGGCATGTTCATTCTGAACCGCTGACGGGCGCTGCTGGCGAACATCTCTCTCCAGCTCTTCGGTGAGAGGGCGCTGTTTCGTTTCGGCGGGCAGTGCTCTTGTAGCCCTGAATTAGGCACTCATCCGGGTCTACGGATTGCCTTGCAAGTTTTTAATTTTCTGCATGTTCTTGGACTTCGCCGTCGCTCACCCCACAGGTTTGTTTCCGACCTACGAGGTTGGAGACTCCCTGTTGTTTCAGCTGATCCATTCGACTCCGCCAAATGCACGACTGTCCCACGACACGTCGAACGGCTGGAAGGGGATCGGTCGAAGGTGACCCGCATCGCCTTGCGTTGGATTGCTCCAGCGGGAATTTAATGCACGGGTGCGGCAGGTGATGCCGAGAACGTCGAACCTCTGGACTATCCTCGCAAAGCGATCGGTGATCCCGAGACAGTGAACTCAACAGTCTTCACATCTTCCCTCTGTGTACAGACTCCAGATGAGGGGGGTGTGTTAAGTTCACGTGTTGCACAGTCTATCAGCCAAGTGTGCGACCGCTGCAACCTTGGCTCAAGCCCGTAACGGGGGCCTGGCAGCGCAACGGCCTCCCCACGTGGAAAAGGGGCGTTCGGCCCGTCGCCATAGCCGCGGCGGGGCGCTCTGGATCTGTGGGCCTCGGGTACGTTGTTGCCGTGGGCGTCTACGTTGGGTTTGCTGTTCTTTGTCTTCTTTGTCTTGTTCAACCTCCAAACCTGCTCTACTACTTCAACTTCCAACGGTCTTCAACCTGGTCACCAGTTCGGGTTCACCCTGAGCTTTGTTACCGGGTTCCACCCTTGGTTTTGGTGACCAACCATACCAGGGTCTGATTCCCGGGGTGTAAGCGTTCTCCCCCAAACCGCACAAACCAAAAAACAAAAAACAAATGGCAGACTCCCCATGTCTCCCAGCATGACTGACATGGGGTCTGCCAATTTGTTTTTTTGTTTTTTTGGGAAACTCTAGGTTTTTTGGAATTTTAACCCTGAACATCAAAACTAGAGGACGATTGGCCCGAAAGCATTTTTCCCCAGGTGCTCATCCAGCCGCGGAGACACCTTTTTACATCGCTGCGGCGAGCGTGTCCGCGCGTGGCGATGCTCAATGCATATGGTCACATGAGAGCTCCATCTCATCGTCCTACGAGAGGAAACATGGCAGTGCTCGATCCCACATATTTACATCCGTTAAAACAAGAAGAGTAAAGCTCGTAAAGCTCGAAACGACTTACAAGCAAAAGGAAGAGCAATCAATAGCAAAGCTTACACGACGGCCACAGTTTCTGCAAAGCACGCTCGCGCAACTTAGCTCTGTGCAAGATGGCTCTGCGCAGCTTGGCTCTGTGAAAGTTGGGTCTACGCAAGCTACTTTTCGCGAGTGGCTCTGCGCAACTGGCTCTGTGCAAGTTGGCTCTGCGCGAGTCTGCTCGGCGCAATGTGCTTTGCACGAACTGCGCCGCGCGATTTCTCACGAAAGTGGTCTGCGCAAGCTGCATCGTTCCAGGCTGCTGCGCGCAAGTTCCTCTCTGCAAGCTGCTGCACGCAAGCGCTCTATGCAAGTTGCTCTGCGCAAGTGCTCTGAGCAAGTTGCTCTGCGCCAGTTGCTCCGTGCAAGCGCTTTGCGCATGTGCTCTGTGCAAGTTGGTCTGTGCAAGTTGCTCTCCGCAAGTGCTTTGTGCAAGTGCTCTGTGCAAGTTGCTCTGCGCAAGTTGCTCTGCGCAAGTTGCTCTGAGCAAGTGCTGCCGGAGCTGTGGGAATGTACTTCGCGTACTATTTTTTGTACTTAAAAGTTGTGATTTTCCAGCCGGAGCTGCGGGAGTGTGCTCCGCGTACTACGTTTGTACTTAAAAGTTGCGATTTTCCAGCCGGAGCTGCGGGAGCACGCTCCGCATACTACGTCTGTACTTAAAAGTTGCGATTTTCCAGCCGGAGCTGCAGGAGCACGCTCCGCGTACTACGTTTGTACTTAAAAGCTGCGATTTTCAAGCCGGAGCTGCCGCGGACCAGGGGGGAATCGAACCCGGGACCGCGGGATTGCGAAAGCAGGCGCGCACACCACGAGACAACTTCCAAAAGCCGTTTCGCGAGCAAGAAAATCGCACGGCGCCACAGCGAGAGCGCTTCGACACGCACGATCACCGCAGAGGGTTCATCGGGCTCAAGACAAATTCGCACGGCGCCACAGCGAGAGCGCTTCGACACGCACGATCCCCGCAGAGGGTTCATCGGGCTCAAGACAAATTCGCACGGCGCCACAGCGAGAGCGCTTCGACACGCAGGATCTCCGCAGAGGGTTCGCCAAGGTCAAGACAAATTCGCACGGCGCCACAGCGAGAGCGCTTCGACACGCACGATCTCCGCAGAGGGTTCGCCGCGACCAAGACAGATTCGCGCGGCGCCACAGCGAGAGCGCTTCGACCCGCACGATCCCCGCAGAGGGTTCATCGGGCTCAAGACAAATTCGCACGGCGCCACAGCGAGAGAGGGTTCATCGGGCTCAAGACAGATGCGCACGGCGCCGCAGCGAGAGCGATCCGGCACGCACGATCTCCGCAGAGGGTTCGCCGCGCTCAAGACAAATTCGCACGGCGCCACAGCGAGAGCGCTTCGACACGCACGATCTCCGCAGAGGGGTGCGTTTCGTAAGCTCCTGTCGGGCCTACCCCCGCCAGAAAAAGAAGAAGAATTAAGAGTCGAGAAGTGAAGGTAGAACAGAAAAGTTAGCTTGTGTTTTTAGGATAGTGAAGTAACACCCGACAAATTAGCTTGTGCTTTTAGTAGAATGAGATAACAGCCGAAAAGTTGACATGAGAAGTTGGCAGGTGAAGTAACTCTCAAAAAGTTCACATGAGAAGTAGGCAGGTGAAGTAACTCTCGACAAGTTGGCATGAGAAGTTGGCAGGTGAAGTAACTCTCGACAAGTTGGCATTAGAAGTTGGCAGGTGAAGTAACTCTCGACAAGTTGGCATGAGAAGTTGGCAGGTGAAGTTGGCAGCCGCTTTTAGAAGAAGAACCCTTCGCAATGCTTCCGGGAAAAACCTCGAGTTTTCCAAAAAAACCTCAAAAAAACAAATTAGCAGACCCATGCCTCACAGCATGATTGACATAGGGTCTGCCAATTTGTTTTTTTGTTTTTTGGAAAACTCGAGGTTTTTTGGTTTTTTAACCAGAACATCAAAAAACCTCGAGTTTTCCAAAAAAACAAAAAATAGCAGACCCATGCCTCACAGCATGACTGACATATGGCCTGCCAATTTGTTTTTTGGCTTTTTTGGAAAACTCGAGGTGTTTTTTGGTTTTTTACCCTATGTGCAAAACGCAGGCCCCATGACGACCCCTTCTGCCAACAAAACACCACCGGAATAACACAACGCCACCGGGACAACACCGGGACACCACCAGCGCAACCCGAGACACCGGGCACCTTTGCGCCCCCGATTTTGGCGAATTGACCGCCCGCGAACACCTGCCGTGTGCTAGAGTATTGGACTCCACAGCTGGACACTATTAGGGAACAGTATCAGGCTGCTCTCCCAGTGCGGAAGGCGTCATGCTGAAGCAAGCTTGGCCTACCTGGCAGCAGGCAGGCAGTGACGCCACTCAACAACGCAAGGCCTGGAGACCGTTTCCGCCAGGTGGCAGAGAAGCTTCCAGCCGCAGCATGCGAGGGGCCGCACGCGGGCTCAGTGTTTTACAGGACAGTTGCAGGAGTGCAATTGCAGAATTGCGTGGCCAAGGCTGTACTGTTGCGTCAGGTGTGTCTCAGCTTGTTTTCCCCAATGCAATTGCGGGGTGTGTCGGCGTAGGCCAGCAAATAACCTGCATGTTTGCATACCTGAGACCAGAGGCTTGCGCTTGGAGCAAAACGATATGACACGAGCAAAGGACAATGTGTGTGGTAGTCCCTCGTCCCGCAGTATGTCGCAGAGCAAGCAAGAAAACATCATGTCACGTGTCACTCTGTGCAGATCTGCATTTGACAAAGTGGGTACGGAAATTTGGTCTATTCTTGGGGTGTACCCCAATTTCGAGACACAGAAAAACCATTTGCCACTCTGCTGACTGACCTTCACAGCAGCAACGCAGCAGCAAACATGTTCAATGGCTATGCCAAACGCGACTCTTCAGCAAGGACCATCGGAGTAAGCAGATTCAAAATTCCTGGCAGGGACTTGAGTGCGCTTGCGGTAACGCAAACACATTGTTGCGCAGGATGTGTCCCGATGGAGAAGAGTGCTTGTACAGCGATTGTCCTTACGCACATCCTGGATATCCTGATTTACAACGCCAAATTTGCAATATGCAACGCTGGAACTTGTTGACTTGCGCAGAAAGGCATCCATATGATTGGTACCACAGTCGCTGTGAGCGCGGGAGGGAATGTCGTTTTAGTGATTGCAGAGGATCTCATCCAAAGCGACCGCGCACATGCAGAAGCGCAAATCACTGCGCCAACCCCGAGTGCGGGTTGCTGCATCCCCGGTCATGGCAAGCGCCTGCGGCGGAAGACACACAGCAGGCTCAGGAAGCTGAGGAGGGCGAGGATGCTGCGGAGTTCAATGAGTGGGGCTTCCCCATTCGTTCTGAAGGGCGAACCAAGATGTGTGAATTTTACCGCAGCACCGGATGGTGTAAATTTGGCTCTCTTTGCAATGCTCATCATAAGGGCGCCGGCGGCTCGGAAAAAGGGGTGTGGCTTCAAGGCAGGCTAAAGAAGGACGAATGGCAGGAACAGGAGGGCGTGATTCAACGTGCGCACCTGGGTTTTGTGGTACAAGTCCAAGGTCGCAACGGCACGAAGACTGAGTGGAAGGTTCCAGATTACGCGTGGCCGTTAGAGTGCCCCATTCCACCAGAGGAGACTGGTGGCTTGCTGGAGTGTTTCTGCGGAGATGGCGATGTACTCAAATACATTCGAGTGAGGCACGAGCCCAAAAGATCGAACAAGGAATGGTACCGACCCGTAATTTTAGCGCAAGATCCCAAGGAATATCCATGGCTGGATGTGGTTGTGGTCAATGGCGAAAGCGAAAGGGCACAGATCCCCATTCAGCTGCCCACGTACCGCGTGCCCTTGAAAAAAGGCATGTTGGCGGAGCTCATGTGCAGCGGCACTTACGGGAAGAATGCTGTGGTCGCCGTGCTTCATCGCCCGGATGACTTAAAGCTTGAGGTGAAGTATTCTGCTATATTATGGACCCTCCCAGCGGCAGTCTGAACAATCCCTGACACGGGGCCTTGAGACCTTTCAGCTGAGGACGCGCAGGAGAGGTCTGCAGACCTCAGCGCGATAACTGGGCTGCAGGCACGAAGCACTGCCGCTTTCGAGGCTGGGAACCGTGTTGCGAACGCCGGACCTAGCATCGTGTTCTGATGGCTTTGGAGCAAGTTAGGACATTTCAGTGGAATCGAGTGGAATTCCCTGATGCATCCAGAATCCTTTTGTCAGAATCCCTTTAGTGTTCCCTGAAACATGTTTTCCGCAGTGAAAGGGTTTTGCGGCAATAGTGCGGCCTCGGAGGATTTCTGCCGCTACGTTCTGCTTGATGGCTTCACCCGGCTTATCTACACAAGCAACCCTTTGGAAGATTTGCAAAGTGCCGATCCCGACGCGCTTATGAAGTGCCAGCCAAAAGCACCTTGGCGACAACTAGTCAAGACAGTCTGTGTATACATACCTGCCTGCCTGCCTGCCTGCCTGCCTGCCTGCCTACATAACTTTCTTGCTCCGCGCCCCGGCCTCGCGGGACGGGCTCATGATGCATGAGATGCATGGCGAAGATGGATGGCTGGCTGGCTGGATGGATGGCCGGCACACTGGCTGGATGGATGGCTGGCTGGTTGGATGGATGGCTGGCTGGCTGGCCGGCCGGATTCTGGCTGACCGGATGGATGGCTGGCTGGCTGGATGGATGGATGGTTGGCTGGCTCATTGGCTGGCTGGATGGACGAATGGATGGATGGCTGGCTCGGCTGGCTGGATGGATGGACGGATGGGCAGCCCACCCGCCACCCACCACCCACCACCCACCACCCACCACCCACCGCCCACCACCCACCACAACAACACCCACCCACCACCCACCACCCACCACCCACCACCCACCACCCACCACAACAACACCCACCACCCACCACCCACCACCCACCACCCACAACAACAACAACAACAACAACAACAACAACAACAACAACAACAACAACAACAACAACAACAACAACAACCAGAGTGCGGCGCGCGCGCGCGCGAGAGTGCGGCGCGCGCGCGCACCATCACGATTGGCTTGGGGCAAGCTGGCCCCAAACCCAAACGATGCAGGGGATGCATGCGATGCGTTCCGCACAGGGCCTGCCGAGGACACAGGCGATGCTGGCAATGCAGCCGGCGCGCTGCATATTTACAGTGTTTTGAGCCGTTTTCAGCCTCTCACCAACTGGAGCTCCAATGGCCGCACGGGTGGTGATGATGCACCAAAGGCACCACGCATCGTCTGCATCTCCAATGTCGGCGGCTAAACCCGTCAGTCCGGAAGGCAAAGCCTTAGGCATGCGCCCCTTTGGGCGAATAGCACGGCGAGGCCGGACTTTAACGCCTCCGGCTCAGGCCGCCGACATGGAAATGCAACTTGATGATGTGGAATCAGAAACGTTTGGTGGTGCTCGTGATGCTGTGTTCTTTGAACTGCCTGTGCTGGTGGTGCCGGTGGTGCTGGTGGTGCTGGTGGTGCTGGTGGTGCTGGTGGTGCTGGTGATGCTGCAAATACCTTGCGCTGAGCCGGTCAGACTTGGGCCGACCCCCTCCGGGCGGACAGGGGCTAAGTACAACCATGTGTGCGGGACCCTTCCTGTAGTCTAGATTTGGTCTACGGGACCGTCACCAAATCACCGGGCGGTACGCGGACCCCCCGCCCTGAGCCCCACTGCCGGGGGTATCTTATCCCAGAAGGGAACCGATACCTTGTGGTAGTAGAAGTCGTATATATGGTCCCTGGATCTATTCCGCAAGAAGGTCCAATGTGCCAACAGTGGATTGAGTTGAGAATGGATAGTCCTGGTTATATGGATTGCTGTTATGCTGGAAGCGGTCTGCAATGCCTTTTCAATGATGCAATGTCAGGGTAGACTATTTACATAAAGAGAGGCCTTGAGCCAAATGTTGCATGGTGATCAACTGAGAAAACAGAACACAAAACAGACACAAATTTCTTTTGATCACCAGCACTGAATTACGGAGTAATGCTGGCTTCTTGGCCTTTGACCGTAGCCATTGAAATATGATTACGCCGTAGCCATGTATTGATTCATCCTTTTTGGCGCGGATGAAATGTTCTTGGTAAACATTCTGTACTACTGCGGTTTGATACCTAATTGTATCGAAAAGTGCACAACGCTATGTACATCTGGATGAGTGTGAAACTATTGATCTCTCAAAGAGAAATATTCTTGTCGTCGATGAGGATCAATTGGTCGATATTCGTCGTGACGATGTCGTATGATCATTCTCTTGATCGTGGTTCTGAAAACTCCATTCCATGGCAAACTAGGCTGACCAAAGGAGGTCCGGATTTTGCCAAAGGAGGCGATCCTAGCAGAGAATCATTTCTGCTTGTACCAGTGGATGCTGCTGGCTTGGCTCTGCACTTCTGCGTCGTAGTCGTGCCATCTCATGCCATAGTCCCATCCTTGTCGATGGTCAGCGGATTGATTCCATGAACTCCACGTGGAATATGTGCCCCAGTTCGTCTCCATCATCTTGTTCTGATATTCCTTGGATCGGATGTAGTTCCGTTCCTGTCGGGCTGCGTTGCTTCGGATATAAACCAGCAATGGGCTGTGGGAGTCCGAATCGCACATTCCGAGCATTAGCATCTCGTTGTTGATGTGTTTGAAACGTTCCGCCGACGATACCTGGCAATCTGCAATTGACTTTCTTGGATCGTCTTGCAATTCACACTTATCCTTGTGACTCATCTTTTCCATCTCTTGCCTTCGGTATTCTTCTTGAATGTTGGTTTTGCCCCAGCCGAAAACGAACGTCATCATACAGTCCGGAAATGTCCGATCGTATCCTGATCCAGTCTTCGTACGCAGGTGATGTCGGACGACGGATTTCATGGTGCATGAGGTTGTCATAGCAACGTCCAGGCGCTCTTCAATGGGCATGTCCCTTGTCTCATTCCAGACTCTTTTGAAATTCTGCATGGCGTAGTACATTATGCCATTCTCTGGATTGTAGACCTCTTGAAGCTTGCTGTAGGTGTTGGCAAACTTGTTTGCATCACCTGTAAGGACATCACACTGATATTCGGCAAGAAAAGGCATGATGTGTTCCTGAAGGTCTGTCCTGGCTGCGCCGTGGGTTATGCTAGGATGGATATGGAACACTCCAACAGTCGCATATGGGATGTCAGCTCGTGTCACATGGCGGGTGTCGTAGTACTGTCTTGGTACATCTTCTGATTTCGGAAAATCGCCACGCAATTCATTCTGGTAATCGTGGTTCTTGCCGTGGGCTTGAATCAGTGTGCGAGGTGGCAATCTCCGGTTGATGTACTTCGTTTTGTCAATGAACATGTCGGGTCTTGTTGTTGCAAGGCAGTCGGATGTTGGGATGTCGTATTCAGGATCGGTGCAATGTTCTTCCAATCCAAAGAAACATCTGAACATTCCGAGTGTTGTACTCCAGCACTGGCTCTTCAACCCTATGTATCGTGCCAGGAGCTCGACTCTTGCTTGAGGACCACCGCGGACGAAACACGCAATCGGTCTTGCCGTCCAATTCTTCAGAACTATACCCTTGTATCCGAATCTGATGAACAGCTTGATGAGATTCTTGGATTTCTCACTATCGGTGTCGAAAAAGGCATCTGCCTCATTTAGGCATATGATGTGTGCACTGTTCTGCAAAAGCATCATTACGAGTGGCCTTTGGTTCATTGGGAGATCCTTGAGTTCTTTTTCATTCAGTCTCGGGTTCCTCGTGAGGTCTCCGAAGTTCACTGTCAGGATGTTGAGTGTCGAGGATGATTTGAAATCATGCCTGGAATGGTCAACGTCTCCTCGGTCGGATGCTTGCATAAGGGATCCCAGAATGTCGGTGAAGGCCTTGATAACGTCGTTTCCAGTTAGCTTCTTCAATCCGATTGGGATTTTGATTGGATACCCTGTGGGATGCTGAGCATCTCTGAACTCTTGCATGGTCGGCTTCTTTCCCTTGTGGTAAAAGTAAAACTCTTCCTCCTTGAAGGTTTTGCTTGGATCGACATGCCATAGGGATCTCTTCTCGCACTCGGTGAGGTCGGATGGCAGAGACTTCGGGTTGTTGTAGAGTCGGTCCATGAAGTCTATGAATCTCTCTTTGTGTTCCTGAAATTCTTCGGCTGCCCCTGCCTTCGTCGTGTCTCTGTCCAGATAAACTTGAGCGAAATCCTCGTTGAATGCAACCACCTTTGCCGCTCCCGGAAATTGGTTGTATACTGTGACCTTTGGCTTCACGGATTGATCTCCTTGAGGTTCTTCTTGTTCTTCTTCCTCATGATCGGTTGAATGCCTTCTCTTCTTGGTCTCAGAGGATTGCTCTTTCTCGGATTTGTCTCTCGTGGTTGACGATGAGGCGACATGCTTGAAGAAATTGTCTGCGAACTCTTGGATCACAGTCTCGCACGCCTCATGGTCTTCTCTACTGAGATGTTTCTTCATCAACCAAGAATTCTTGAATATAGAGACTCCTTCAGAGTCATATGCGGCGACAATGTTCGCGTTGTTGATGGTATGTTCTGTCAGTACCGTTCGCTCTTCACTCATCCGGAAGTCGTACTGATTGTCTTGCTTGAATGCAAGGATCACAAGGGCATCACGACCGCTAGGAATGTGGGAATTTGCTCTTCCTGGCGGTTGATCGTTGAAGATGATGTCATCGATGCTCGCAAGGTGAACATGGACTCTTCCCCGTGGGGCTGAGTCTTTTCCCGGCTTGATGCCTTCTTCCAGGATGCCTTCGAGGTTGCTCGCATACGTCGCATGGAACATGAATGTCAGTGCATGCTTGGAGAAGGGCCTGATCAGTCGTTCTTGTTCGATGTGTTCAGGAGCCGGTCGTCTCATCCTGTGCGGGCGGTGACCTGTTGTATCATCTTCTTGCTTCCTTGATGATGCTGGAAGGTCGTAGGATGGTCCTTGCTCGTCGCGGTCCGATCTCTGTTGCTGCATCGGCCTTCCAATGGATTCAATATTGACTGACCTGGTATGTCCGCTGATGCATCTCACATAGACCTCCATCTCCTTGTCGTTGTAAAAGGAATGGCCATCAGGTCGGAGTGCCTTGTGTGCGGTTCTGGATTCCAGGTTGTTTGTAGCACTGATCCATCGGTCTCGAGGGACAATTTTTCCCCGTTTCTTCCTCTGTTCGTATGTTCCGTCGTTATCTGGGTAGACAAAGGCAATCTCAAAACGGGATTTGCCGAATGTTGGGAACATAGTCATCAAGAATAAAATCGGCTTGTTGCCCAGGAAATTTCTTGCATGTGGGATCGCCAACATCGCCTGGTAGAGCTCGCATGATCCATCTTCGTTGAATGTAATTCCTTCTCGAAGTTCTTGGTTCTTGGATCCTTCTCGGGGAAAGTGACGTAGGCA